TTACGCTATGTCACTCGGCGCCGCGGAGGAGGACGGAAGCGGAGGCGCGTCGCTCGGCCGCTGCTCTCGGCCCGGGAGGATGGAGAGCTCTGCGGGCCTTTCGATGGACTGAGCGTTCGTGCTATCTGATAATGTGGTACAAAAGCAGGATTTCTTCTCGGGATTTGTGACGTTATCGATAACTGTCCTAAAAGCATATCCAGTGGCAGTTAATTCCGTTAAGCCCACGAACCATTGAAAACTGTACATATCTAAATCAAACGCTAAAAAGAGATACGTATTTTCTCCAATTAATCTGAATGCCTTTTTATCCACACCGACATTTTCCAACAACAAGTATGTGTGCCTTTTAACACATACCTCAATACATATAACAAACTCCAATCACCAAATAATGTTACACTCAAAAATAAACAAAGCAAAAACATTTCAGTAAATCTATTTCCAACGTGATGATATACATCCAAGTCGTTATACAGCTTTCTTGAATTATTGTCAATGGTGTTTTAACCTCTGCTACGTAACAGCTCATATGTCTCTTGATAACGACAATAAAATTTAACGCAAGTACAAGTAGGTTATTGTTACAGAAAGGGCTATAAATACGACGATGAATAATTCAGCCATTCCCATTTCCACTTCCTATATAACACTTCATGCTGTGTTTATAGAGCGATTTGTTATATATTTTTTGATATCGCTTTTCATTGTATTCGCGAAATTATGGCATGAAGTCCATCCATTTATAACAGACATAACGTGTGCTTTTTGGTTATATATCAAAAGCTTTTCGGTCTCACGGTATGCTTATCCCGCTGGTAAAAAAAGGAGAAAAAATGAGAAAAGGCAACCCTACAAATTATATTTTTCTTCTCCTGTTAACATTTAAAAATCTTATAATATTTACGTTCAGAATTCCGGATCGGCTTTTTGAAAATCGCTTCCGTTCTCCTCCGAGCTTATTATTTACAATGTTAAGTACAATGGACGGTAATGGAAGTAAATACGAAATAAAGTGAATGAGAAATAAATAACAAAGCGAATATGAAAGGTAGAAGGAAAGAGGAAAGAAAGGAAAGGAAAATAATTAATTCAAAAATATAATCACAAGGCTGTTCATAAACACTAATAAAACTAATACACTAATAAACACTAATACACACACACACACACACACACACACACACACACACACACACACACACACACACACACACACACGCACGCACGCACGCACACACACGCACACACACACACACACACACACACACGCACACACACATACGTACATAAAACCCAAAACATATTACGTAAAATAAGCAAAATCTATAAATCAAACGAAAAGAGAAAAGGAAAGAGAAGAGTAAAGGAGAGGAAGGAGTTAAGGAAAATGAGTAAAGAATGGAAAGGATAAAGAAAAAAAAGTAAAGGAAAGAAAAGAATAAAAGAAAGAAAAGAGTAAAGGAAAGAAAGGAGAAAAGGGAAGAGAAGAGAAAAGAAAAAGAAAAAAAAAGTAAAGGAAAGAAAAGAATAAAAGAAAGAAAAGAGTAAAGGAAAGAAAGGAGAAAAGGGAAGAAAAGAGAAAAGAAAAAGAGAAGAGGAAAGGAAAGAAAAGAGAAAAGGAAAGAAAAGAGAAAAGGAAAGAAAAGAGAAAAGGGAAGAAAAGAGAAAAGAAAAAGAGAAGAGGAAAGGAAAGAAAAGAGAAAAGGAATGAAAAGAGAAAATGGAAAGAAAAGAGTAAAGAAAAGAAAAGAGAAAAGGAAAGAACAGAGAAAAGGAAAGAAAAGAGAAAAGAAAAGAAAAGAGTAAAGAAAAGAAAAGAGAAAAGGAAAGAACAGAGAAAAGGAAAGAAAAGAGAAAATAAAAGAAAAAGAGAAAAGGAAAGAGAAGAGTAAAGGAAAGAAAAAGTAAATTAAATGCAAAGAGCAAAAATAAAATAAAAACGAGGAACCGAAACGAAATCCAAAACTGAAAGCAATAGAATAAAAAAGTAAAAAGAAAGGTAAAAAAACAAAACAAAAAAAAAACAGAAAACGAAACGAAATCCATTGACAAAAGTAAAGAAAAAAAAAGAAAGGAAGAAACAAAACAAAGAGAGAGAGAGAAAAAAATAAAACGAAGTCCTCAACTCGAGCCAAAAGAACAAATGAGGGGGTAAAAACAAAGAGAAAAAGAGAAAAGGAAGCGAAATAAAACAACATAATAAAGAAGCAAAAACAAACAAAAAACATAAAAGGAGAGAAAGACAAGGAAACGAAAAAGAAAAGAAATGAAATAAGAACAAAGACAAAAAAGAAAAAAAAATCCACAAGAGAGAGAGAGAGAGAGAGAGAGAGAGAGAGAGAGAGAGACAGAGAGAGAGAGAGAGAGAGAGAGAGAGAGAGAGAGAGAGAGAGAGAGAGAGAGAGAGAGAGAGAGAGAGAGAGAGAGAGAGAGAGAGAGAGAGAAGAGAGAGGGAGAGAGTGAGAGAAAGAGAGAGAGAGAGAGAAAGAGAGAAAGAAAAGAAATGAAAGAAAGAATTGAAACAAAGCAAAAAAAGAAAAAAAAACACACAAAAAAAAGAAACCAGAAAAAAACACAGAAAACCTACGCTATTGGCAGCCATGAGCCTCTTCCTGGTCCCGCCGTTGAACATGGCTTTCACGTCCTCCCACGCGTGTTGGACCTCGATAGGCGGCTCTCCCGACAGACGAATATGCCGACGCCACGAATTGAAGTTGGCGGCGTCGGGCTGCACGTATTTGCTGTCGGAAAGTCGGTGCGAGTGGAAAACGAACTTGTTGGGACTGAAGAACATGGCGCAGTAGAGGCACTTGATGCATTTGGCGCGGGAGGAGTTGTATCTGCGGGAAGTAAAGAAGGGGGGTGGGGAGGAGGTGGGGCGGGAGGGGATTTTTTGTTATTGTTGATTCTGTGATTGTTGTTATTGTTTTGTTGTTGGTTTTGATGTTATTGGTGATGTTATTTTTGTCGTAATTGTTGTTTTTATTGTTGATGTTATTGGTGTTGTTTTTATTGTTTTGGTTATTATTATTATTATTATCATTATTATTATCATCATCATTATCATTATTATTATCATTATTATTATTATCATTATTATTATTGTTATTAATATTACAATTATTGCTATTACTATTATTATCATTATCGCTATTATTATTATTATCATTGCTATTATTATTATCATTATTGTATTATTATCTTTTTTCATTTTTTTTTTTAGGTGTGTGGGTTGGGTTCTGTGTGTTTTGTATCATCGTTCTTTTGGTTTCGTGTTTTCGTTTCTCTCTCTCTAATTGATTTGATTTTTTTTCTACCTTGCTTTCTCTCTCTCTCTCTCTCTCTCTCTCTCTCTCTCTCTCTCTCTCTCTCGCCCCCCACCCTCCCTCCCTTCCTCCCTCCCACTCCCTAACTCCCTCCTTCTCTCCCTCCTTCTCTCCCTCCTTCCCTCCCTCTCCCTCCCTCCCTCCCTCTCCCTCTTCTTCCCACCCTCTCCCTCCACTTCCCTTCCTCCCTCCCTCTCCCTCCCTCTCCACTTCCCTCTCCTTCCCTCCCTCCCCCTCCCTCCACTTCCCTCCCGCACTGTACCTGGAGGGAACGAAGGAGCCTCGGCAACCCCACGCGCACTGATGCATCACGTCGAAGGCAAAGTTTTCCGGCAGTTTGGGTGGCGAGTTGTCTCCCAGGAAGGACTTGCACAGCCTCTCCGCCTCTCGCTTCGTGATCATGCCACACCTGCGGGGAGAAAGGGGGAAGAGGGGAGGGGAGGAGGGGAAGGAGGAATGGGGGGGAGGGGTGGGGAAGGGAAGGAGGGGAGGGGGGAAGGAGGGGAGGGAGGGGATGGGAGGGAGGGGTGGGGGAGGGGTAGGAGGGGAAGGAGGGGAGGTGAGGAAGGAGGGGAGGGGAAGGGAAGGAGGGGAGGGGGTGTGTGTGGGAGAGGGGGAAGGAGGGGAGGGAAGGGGAGTGGGAGGGGAATGGGGGAGGGGAGGGGAAGGGAGGGGTGGGGGAGGGGAGGGGAAGGAGGGTGGATGAGGGTGAAAGGGTTGGGGGAATAGAGGGAAGGAAGGAGGGAGGAGTTTAAGAGAAGGGGGAAGGGGAAGGAGGATGAATGGGTAAGGGAAGAGTGAAAGGTGTTGAAGGGGGGTGAACAGTGTGTGGAAATGAAGGAGGAATGGAGAGACGGGGTTAAAGAGGGAGAACGTAGTGGGGGGAGGAGGTAGAAGAGGATGATAGGGAAGAGGGAAAGAGAAGGGGAGGGAAGGAAAAAATGTTTTTAGTACAGTTATGATGTTTTACGAATGGATTTTAAATTTGCATGGAACTTACAGCTTTATTAATTGGATCATCCGCCCACTCATCCGTCCATTCACAATATATTGGCGACAGTGATAGTACTATTTATCATTAAATTCATTTATTCATCTACCTAATAATCTATCCCTTCATATTCTTCATTCACAATTCCTATACAACTATAATCAAAACAGATCTCATAATCTCAAATTACACACCAATACAAATAAAAAAGAAAAAGAAAAAAACGTAACACATATATACAATATCTAACTTACCTCCGCGATGAAATAGGCATAGCACCTGCACGCCTCAGGATCTCGAGCTGAACAGGTGTACACTGCACGCAGGTGATGCCCAGCGCCACCCGACGGTTGTGGATTTCGTTGTAGCTGAACTCCTGCTTGGAATAGATGGGGGAAATTGTGGTCACGCTCTGTAAGGCTGAGCGGTGGTGGAAGAAGGCTCGGTTCAGTACGGTTGGCTTTGTTAAATGTGATGGCGAGACACTTAGACACATACACAGACAGGCATCCACAAACTCATACAAACACGGGCATACAAGCACACATACATACGCATAACACACAACATAACACACACAAGAAAAAATGCCCACATATGCAGATGCCCATGTAGATATACACACACAAAACAAACAGACACACCAACTGAAGTCAAGCCTTTATCAAACTAGATGGTTG